TGAAAGGACAAGTTTTGCATTGTGAGTGAGCGCATTTGAAAGTTCCAGGTTGGTTACCGGTTTGAAATGAACTTCTGACCAAAATGAATGAAATTAGTGGAGGTCGCTAAAAGATAGTACCAGTCATTTAACGTTTGTAAGAATGATAGATTTAACCGTGTGGTTGTGAGGGTGAAATGTGAGAGTGAATAAAAGCGATCAGTGTTTTACTTCTCAGCCATTTGTAGTGCTATCTGTCGATCAATTTGTTGAGCACAGTGGTCGCCCGCTAGAACGACAGAAACAGGATAGCCATGTTTATCGAGAATTTAGCACATTGCTTCTGATTTTTCGTAAGAATCAGAGTTGTCACTACCTAAACTACGAAGTCTGAGAAACTTTCAACAAGGTATAGAATTCTTGACGTGTGATGGATGCGAAGATGAATACAACAAGTAACTATGTGAATCTGTAGGTTTGTAGTTAACACTAGTGCATAGACCGTTGCACTGATCATAATTCTTACCAGCCTCCTATGTTTTCTTAAACAGCTGTTCTATTAATATTATGAAAAGAAAGAAAGGTTCATATAGGAGGAAATTCAAGCAAGTATGTAGGCAACATTATTAATTTTCTACGTCTCACCATCTTCTTTTGTTCTTTCAGTTAAAATGGAACTCTTTGGTCCATCACCAACAGAAGTGAAAGCCAGTATTTTAAATTCATATTCTGTGTACTTGTCAAGCCTAGTGACTTCTTCAATGCGCTTAGTCTTATCTGTTATGAGCCGCTCCAATCCTGGCCCTGCGGAACCTTTCTTTTGATAGGACAATTTAAATCCTTTGATTATTCCATTTCTGGACTTTTCTGGTGGTAACTGCCAAGATGCTGTAATACTAGTAGAAGAGGATGCAGTCAGATTAAAGCCACTAGGAGGCTTTGAAGGAACTGCAATAAGGAAGATACATTATGTTAGGATAATCATCATAATTATAATAGCTATAACATATTTATTATATAATGTAGATATCATATCATCATCACCTTTCCCTCATCATGAAGCAGAAATCTTTTATGGTGTTCAATTATGCAAATATGCTAAGAAAACTTGCCATTTTGTACACGATTTAGCCTGTTAAATTGATTTAACAGGCTAAATTGATTTAAAAATGGATGAGGTTCCCAAAAATGATAGTCGTACACCCTCATCTATAAATTAATACATACATCTCTTATACAAAATAGGGTGCACCTTTAGGGTCTAAATGCATATGGAAAGCTACCAAAAGAAAAAACGATCAGAATCACCAACATCCACCAGCATGCTGAATTTCATGAGCAAATTGAAATCCTTTAATTGCTTATCACGTTGCAATTATTTGGTTAGTTATGTTGAAATAGTTTCCTGTATACTATAATTAAGTCAAGGTCTTTTCCCTGACAAAACTCTGGTTACTTATCTATTTTCAATATTCTCTTAATAACTGTTCATTACAGAAGACATATCAAGCCCTCTATTGGATAAAAAATGACAACTCTAACCATCCTCTTTTGTTCTCTTAAAAACCACAGAGCTGTTTGTTCCATCACCAGAAGAAGTAAAGGCCAACACTTGAAATTCATATTCTGTGTACTTATCAAGACCAATGACCTCTATGTTTAAAGTTGATTCACTATTGATTGAAATGACGGTTCCTGGCACTGAAGAGCTTCTCTTGTTGTAAAACAATTTAAAACCTTTGATTATTCCATTTCTAGACTTTTCTGCTGGTAACTGCCAGGATGCTCTGACACTGGTGGAAGAGGTTGCACTGACCATGAAGTTAGATGGAGGTTGTGAAGGAACTGTAATTGAACAGTGTTCTGATTAGTATACTCATTTTTAAAATAAATTTTAAATACTTGATGTAAAATCTTCACTTATCAATTCAAGTTTATTCCTGTTATATATGTACACATATATATATATATATATATATAATTTGATCCAAGGTAACTGCATGGTTATTTATTTCTTTGGTCACCTACTCAACTT